AATAGTGAGGGGGAGGTGAGCCCTTAGGAGGGAGGAGGTGACACCTGTGGGTGCAGCTTCCTGTGGAGCTGACCACCCTCCAGTGGGCGGGAGGCTGGAGTGGACTCGCCTTTTCCGTTCCCGATGGCGGGTGGGGATTAAAACCGCACTTACTCAGGCTGGGTGGGTCCCTCCCGCGTTCCCTGTGAAGGAGGCGGATCCAGCCCATCTAAACCCCAGGGGCTTGGGGTGGGGGTGACGAACCCTGCGCTGAGAAAGCCGCACTGGCAGATGCAAGCAGACGCAACCCTGGCCGGTGGCCAGCAGGAGACAGCAGCATCTCCTTTAGCGTCTTTCCTACTGGGGGTGGTTCCAGGGCCCCTGGGAAATCCCGCCACCCTCCATATACTGCCCGGGTCGGGAGTGGATGCTGAAATGTAGGGTTTCAGCCTTGTGCTTAGGGCACCATTCACACCAGCTAAGGGGGAGGAGTGGGGAGGGCGCTGGGTTCCTCCCACAGGAGGAAGGGTGGGAGAAGGTGCTACTGAAAAATGGAAGAGAAGGGAAAAGTTTTAGAGGAGAGGCAGGTATGGAGTAGCCTGGTAGCCAGGCTGTAATGGGTGTAGAGGGGTCTCCTGGGGCAGGGAATTGGTGTCTGCTCCAAGATCTGAGCCCCAAATCAGGGGGTCTCCCTAAGCCCCAAGTCCCCAGCCTACACCATCATTGAGGAGAGTGGAGGGGCTCCCCAGCTGGTAGCAGAAAGGACTCTAGGCCCCAGCCAGCCCCTCCTGTTCCCGAGGCCCCATCTCTACCCGCCATGACACCCCTCATGTTGTTCACCTTTTGGATACTTGGGGCTCACTTTTCACAGCTGTCGCCTGTGCAAATGAGGATGGGGGGTTGTCAGAGGAGGCAGGGTCAGGAGGAGTCTGTCCTGCCGAGGGGTGCGAGGAGGGGCCTGTCTCTGGGCTCTGAGGGGGCAGAGACTGGATTGGCCACAGCAGGGACATGTGCCTGCTGTCCTCAGTAAGAACCGCCAGCTATTGGAGAATGTGCTGAGGCCTCTGTGGCTTTGCTCCTCTGATCTTCACGATGACCTCTGAGGAGGTTCCATGATCAGCCCCTTATACAGATGAGAAAACCGAGGCCCCGGGAGGTTATCGACCTGCTCGAGATCACACAGCTGGGGGGTGTCAGGAATGGGGATCTAAACCCTTCTCACAGATTAGGAAACCAAGACTCAGGGAGGGGGAGTGGGTTCCCTGAGCTCACGCAGCTGGAGGGAAGGAACCCTGGCCCAGGCCGTGTGCCTCGGGGTCCCCATTCTCTCCCCCCACCACTTGTTGGGAGAGAGGACCCAGGAGAACGTAGAGTCAGGACAGTGGGAGCCTGGGAAAGCAGGAAGCAACTGTGAAGGGGAAAAGTGACTATATCCTGGGGAAAAAACCTCATTCGACACCTTAATCTCACTCTCAAAGTATTTCTTAAATCTGTACACACAACAAGCACAACACAGCATTGCTGATCACAGTGAACGTTTGGAAACGCAAAGGGATGATCAAATAGTTTTCTGCACAACCAACTGCCCAGAGGACAATCATGAGGACCCTGGGGCACTATGGGAAAAACTTACAGTTTTTACGGGGAACGCCCTTTAAGCCAGGAATCCCTTCTTTTGGAAATTAACTCTAAATACAGAAAAGCTTCTTTCTTTCCACTTAACAGAGACGTTTGCCATGACCTTCCTCATGTTAAAGCGTGTTATACATGTCACCGGAGTCCTCCTTCTACCAAATCACGGAGGACACACAGGGCGGGGCCACGGCCTCCAAACCGCACAGGCCGGGGCTCCCCTCTCCCCTGTGCTGAGCCGTGGGTCCTCCAGAGCCTCAGCTAAACACAAACCTGTCGCATGTAGTTTCTACATTAACAATATGACCCTTTTGGAAAGAGAATGAAATGACACGAAAATGGAAGATACGAGCTCTGTATTTCCTACAGATAGTTTTTCTATCCAGAAACATATTTGTGCAAAGCCCCAGACACTGTCCCCTCAGGTAACCGAAACGCCGCCTTTGCACGGAGATCCTCATTTCTGCCCGCAGTGGCCTGTCCTGGACAAGGCAGCGGTCAGGCCTGCACCCATATCCGGCTCTCCAGGTCTCCAACGTGGGGGAATGCTCCCCTGCTCAGCTCTCCTACTGCCTGTCTTTGCCCACCCTCCCGGCCTCCCTTCATCGGGGCTCCATGTGGTACTTACTCAGCCGCCTCAAGTACAGAACGGCGTCTTCGTAGCCTCGGTAGTAGTAATTGTGCAGGACCTGCAAGGGGGGCACACCGGGAAGAGACTCAGGCTGCAGCAGCAGCGACAGGCGGTCCCCTCCCCAGAGCAGCTGCTTTCGCCTTTTATTTGACGGGCTCTTCAAATGTGCCTGTCGGGTTCCCGTCCCTCACTCTCTGCCAAGGACTGGGAGCAGTTCCTGTGTCCATAGCGACACGACACCAGTGTGCTAAATCTTGTGTCTCCTGGTGGGAGACGCCGAGGTGTTTGTAGCAGAAGCAGGGAAAGTGCATTTGGACCATATGAAAGGCCAAGTTTGGAGACTGGGTTCAAACCCCAGTGTTGCCACTTACTGGCTGTGGGGCTCTGTGGGTGTAACCTCTCACAGCCTCAGCTTCTTCATCTGTAAAATGGGATAATAATAGCATCTATCACAGAGGATGCTGAAGGATCCCATGAGATATTGCCCGCAAAGCCTTTTCTGTAAAGGGCCAGGTAGCAAATATTTGGGGCTTTGTAGGCCATACATAGTCTGCCATTTCTTCTTCCTCTTCTTCTTCTTCCTCTTCTTCTTCTTCTTCTTCTTCTTCTTCTTCTTCTTCTTCTTCTTCTTCTTCTTTTGACAGTCATTTGTTTTATTTTATGTTTTCTTTTTACTGAATGTATTGGGGTGACACTGGTTAACAAAATTATATAGGTTTCAGGTGCACAACTCTACACACATCATCTGTACACTGTGTTGTGTGTTCACCGCCCATTTTACAGCCTTTAACGGTGGAAAACCCACACTTAGCTCACAGGCTGTACAAAAACAAGGCGGGGGGGCAGGGGAGGATCTAGCCCCCGGGCCACAGTTTGCTGACCTGACATCGCACATCAGAGCGGAAGAGTTCAGTTACCATCCCATCAGCGATTCTGACATCACCTTATTTACAGGGGAGGACATTAAGGCTGGGAGCCCTTAGGGGACTTGTTCAAGGTCACACAGCTCATTAGTGAAAAGGCCAGGACATCGGTCTAAGAGGAAGTTTAAGGGAACATTTGAGAGGAGGAAACATGGGAACTGAGTGGGCCCCACTGGCTTCCCCACTGCACCCCCACCCCTACCCCAGCCCCTCCAGGCCCCTCTCTCTCACCATCAGGTCTGGGGGGAACAGGGCGTGGGTCATCCTGGCGATGTTCTCCAGGGAGAACTGGAAGGAGCAGTTGAACATGCGGAAGTCGTGGAAGATGGCGGGGCAGTCCCGGGGGCAGATGTCCTGCTGGCCGCTGAAGGTGGAAATGGTGATGGCGTCGGTCCAGAAGGCGCAGGGCTGCATGCCCGTGAAGCCGCCGTCGATGTACCGCTGTGGGGGCAGAGTGAGAAATGTGCGCTTGGCCAGAGGGCCTCTCCCCATGCGGGGCGGACACAAGGACAAGCCCTACACTGAGGCCCAGGGGCTGGGTGATGGGCTCAAGGTCACTCGGGTCCAAGTTGCCCCTCGGCCGAGCCAGGCACCCTGACCGGCCACGTGTCCACCCTCCAGGCCCTTCCCCTCTGGGGTTTCGGTTCCTCAGCTGAGAACAAAGGCGCCGACCCTCTCGGGTCACTGAGAACTACACCGACATGCAAGCTGGGCTCCATCTAGAGCTGAACCTTGTCCGGACCTCATTTTCTCCGTAAGATGAGGAGGAGGTGGGCTAGACCCTCTGACTCGAGTGTGGTCTGGGGACCAGCAGCACAGTCTTGGGCCCTGCCCCAGACCTACTGGGGCAGGATTTGCATTATTTTACAAGATCCCTGAGCATGGAAGTTGGCGAGTCACTAGCCTAGATGACCTCAAAGGTCCCCATCACTCAAGGTTTCAGGTCCCCACGGTGCAGGGCCTGTGTCTAGGCTCCCTGTCAAGCCTGGGAAAGACTGTAAAGTCGGAGGCATCTGGATTTGCTGGGCTCAGTAATGGGTTGGTGCATCCAGAGAGAAGCCCAGCCTCTAGTTGGAAAAGTTCCTCTTAAGGCCCCAGAAGTCCATCTACTATATGGGGGAATTTTGAGTAGGAAAACATGAGAACCTTCCCAACTCCTGGTCTTCCCACTGAATTCTGAGACCACCCCCTGCTGTCCCAGCTGTGGTCTCAGGGGCCGAGGCACCCCTGGGCCCCGGCTCAGCCCCGCCCACGCTTCAGCACTCACCACACCGCGGTAGGTCGGGGGGATGAGGCCGCAGTACACGGGGACAAAGCAGCTGCAGTACAGGGCCTGCAGGGGGAGAACAGGGCTGAGACGCCTGAGGCTCTGGGGGTTGGGGGGACCTGCAAGCCCCCAGGACGCGGCCAGCCACGCTTTCCTGTCTTCCTCCCAGTTCAGTCCCTCTCCTGGCCCTGACTAGCTGGGTCCTTGGTGACAACTTGGTCACAGCTTTAAAGGCAGAGGGTGACCTCAGTGATCTCCAGGGTCCCTTCTGGGTTCAAAGTTCAGTAAATCCAATGGGATTCAACCACCATCACTGTGCATCTGGCTTGGGCCAGGTCCTGGCATCAAAGGAGGGTGAGATACCCACCCTTGGGAATGCTGCAAGAGGGGAGTAAGCAAGCAGGTGACAGTACAGGGTGACAGGTGCTGTGGGGGAGGTGAGCAGGGGCATTGTGGCCCCAAAGGAGGAGCACCCAGCTCAGGGGGGTGTGGGGCGGGCAGATGGAGGAGAGTTCCAGCAGGCATAACTGGAGTCTTCCACGGCAGGTGAAGGGGAGTGAGAACGAGAGAAAGGCATCCCTGGCGGAGGGCACAGCAGGTGCACAGGCATGAAGACCTGCTTGGTGTGTGGTCCGTGCTGATTGGCACGAGTGGATGCGGAAGATGGTAGGAGGCTGGAGAGGAAAGTCTTGAAGAGCTGGTGCCAACAAACCCAGGGACACGAGATGGCGGAGGAGTATCCATGTGCATTGCCTATTCACCCTCCACCCCAGGATCATGGCCAGGCCAGTGTGGGGATGAGAGGATGGGTGACAAGGGCCTTGTCGTCAGAGGAGGGGAGGGGAATAGAAATGTGGGAGAGTCATGCAGCACAACCCCTTTGTCAGGAAAGAAAATTGGGTCCACTCCCAGCCCTCCCCAGCAAGAGCAACTCAAGTGGTTTGCTCTGGTTGGCACAGGTAGAAGAGGAAGGTGGTAGAAGGCTGGGGAAGCAGGACCAGCCTGCCCTCCAACCTGCCCTTCCGCACCGCACTCCACAACCCCGCCCCCACAACACAGCCCCGCCCCACTCCACAGCCACGCCCTACTCCAGGCCCCGCCCCCACAACGACCCAGCCCCATGCGGGCCCCGCCCTCTTGCCTCGATGAGCTCCTCTTTGGACGTGTATTCGGAAACCACTACACTCTCTCCATCGGTGAAGCGGGTGAGGCTCACGTGCAGCCTCCCGGTGGCGGCCTTGTAGGAGTCCTCAGGCAGGGCCTGGTACAGGAACTGCCGCATCATCTGCACCATCCTGCAGGAGGGCGCCAGGGGCCCCAGGAAGGACTTCTTCACCTCGGCCACGCCCACGTTGAGGACTCGGAGGTACTCATCTGTGCAGGAAGCAGAGAGGAGCGGGAGCTCAGCGGCCATGGCAAGGCAGATCAAGGGTGATTTCCCATCTCATCCTGCCGCCAGCAAATGGGGAGACCTAGAATTCTGAGGCAGGGAGGGGACCCCCCTGTCATCTGCTCAGGAGGAAAGCAGACACGGTGGGTCCGAGTCGCTGGCCCCCGAGATCCCAGGGCAGAACGAGACCCAAGCACCGCAACTCTGCTCACTGAGACAAAGGACTACTTTTCGACCCCAAGGAGCTTTCCTAGCTCCCTCACATGCCTGCTGTCCCCCAGCAGACGGCATTCTTTTGGAGTCTTAGAGACTTTTGTCCTGAGATTCCCATCAAAACACACACACACACACACACACACACACACACACACACCACTGACACAGTGGAAAGCCTTCACCAAGTGACACCTGGGGGACGGGCATAGTGCCAGCTGCATCTGTGTGCAGGGAGGGCGTGTTGGCCTTGGGGCAGATGGATTACAGGGAGGGGTGAACTTTGTCCTGAAACTATTGCATCATCTTCCTTTCCTGGCCCCTGATAGGCCCGAAAGGGAGAAGGTCCTGAACCCTGGAGACGGCTGTGCCAGGCTGCCCTGCAGGCGCCCAGGAGGGGGACACCTCCTCCTCCTTTTGAGAGGAGTGCAGCCCGGGCACCGGGGCCAGACTGGCTCGGAGGGCAGGTGTGTTGCTCAGGGGTGGCAGCGGGAGGTATAACTTGCCTCCCGGGCCCTGAGAATCCCACCAGGGAAGTTGGGTTGTAGACTTGCTAAGACGTGCGATGGTGCTGGAGCCGCACAGCATTACTCTGAGGCAGGTATTTCTCTCCTCATCCCGCTGGTCAGGAAGCGGAGGCTCGGAGAGGTGATATAACTTTCCCCGGGTCAACTATGTGGTACGTGGACAAAGTGGGCTTTTAACCTCGAGTGCCCCCGGAACCCATACGCCTTCCACTAAACTAAGCTGCAGGCTCCCAGGGTCCGGCCTGTACCTGCTTCCTTCCCATTGTTGCTGTTTTCGACCTGGTGGAAGCTCCCTGGGAAAATGAGGAGTGGAAATGGCTCTGAAAGAAGCTGCTAAAGCTTTAAACAAACATTTAATTGTAAAACCTCCCGTACAGGAGAACGTCCTCACAACCAGCTATCAGGCAGCAACGGCTATTTGGGAGGTTGTGTGGTCATGAGCTCTCTGCCACTGGAGGTAATCAAGCAGAGGCAAGAGAAGCTCCCCAGCCAGAGAGCTAGCTCATCAAAGGGGCTCCTGGGTGGACCATTAGGGCTAAGATCCGGTCTCATGATGAGATTCCGGGACTCTCACCAGAGCCCGACCTCGTCTCCGGGGAGGCATGGCGGTGAACCTGTCCTCCGTTATAAATAGAGCAGCTGAGGCACAGGGACCTTCAGTGATCTGCAGCAATCGGGGGACAAACCAAAGCTGGGGATGCGCTCCTCCTCCTAGCTCCAGGCAGGTCCTCCCTAATCCTGGAGGCGGACAGGATAAGGAGCGTCTTTCTCAGATCCAGAAACCAAATCAGGGAAACCCTACGTGTCCTCCCTGAGGTGAGAGCGCGGCGGTGTTTGCTCTGACTCCCGCCCACGTCTGTCCCTGGGTGTTGGACTGATCCCAGAGGCTGGGGAGCCTGGGTTGCCATGGCGACAGCCTTTTCTCACCAACGTGTAGAATCCCAGCTGCGTTTGTGTCCTACCCTACGTGTCCTCCCTGAGGTGAGAGCGCGGTGGTGTTTGCTCTGACTCCCGCCCGCCCACGTCTGTCCCTGGGTGTTGGACTGATCCCAGAGGCTGGGGAGCCTGGGTTGCCATGGCGACAGCCTTTTCTCACCAACGTGTAGAATCCCAGCTGCGTTTGTGTCCTAGGGGGACGGGCCTGCGCAGCAGAGCATCTCAGCTGTCACCCTTTGGGGGGAGGCCCTGCCGTGGTGGCGAGGTTAGTGAGGTTAGCGTTCAGTGTGCCGACTGATACAAACAGCCTTTCCCTGAAGGGAGGAGGCAGCCAACCCACCAGCAGGTCATGAAACAACTGGGCATTCGGATACCAAGGTTTTGGGTCACTGAGCTCTCTCCTACAAGACCAGCGGGATGGGGAGTCAAACCAGGGTGGGGATGTGCTGTTTTGGGAAATGCTTTTTAATCCTCACCTGAGGATATGTTCTTATTGGTTTTAGAGAGAGAGGAAGGGAGAGGGAGGGAGAGAGAGGAGGAGAAACATTGATCTGTTGCCTCCTGCATGCGCCCCGAATGGGAATCAAACCCACAGCCTGGGTATGCGCCCTGATCAGGAACCGGATCTGCAGCCTTTCAGTGTACCTGACCATGCTCCACCCACTGAGCCACCGGCCAGGCTGCTTTTGGAATTCTTAATGAGCAACCTGAAGTGGCCACAAAGGAGTTGGTGGCCTTCCCACCATGCCTGGGAGCCAGGAGCACCCAGCTCTGTTTGCCCAAACGCTCCTTGGACGCCCAGCAAGAGGAGCTCGCTGGGACCGACGGGAGGACGTTTGTGCTTATTGCACAAGAAATACATGTTCATGGTGGGGAAATTGCTTTAAATGCAGATAAGCAAAAGGAAAAGATTAAAACGACTTGGAATCCCTCCACCCAGAGATCCACATTTGGTTAATGTCTCCCTACACTATATATTTCATATTTATTCTTACTTACAAAATACTTTTATGGGGTCAATCTATTTACATTATTTTGTAACTTGCCTTTTTCACCTAGTAAATCATGTCTTTCCCACCAATAAGTACCCACTTAGAACCTCATTGACAAGCAGCACGGAGAGCTACTGGAAGGCTATGAGATCATTTATTGGGCAGGTCCCCTGGAGGACTTGAATATTTAGTTTGTTTCCTGGCTTTTATAAACAATGCTGCAATTAATAATCTCATGCTCAATTCTCTGCCTGTGTCCTTCCTCATTTTCCTCAGGATGGGGACAGAGTGGGGGTGCTAGTTAAAGGCCCGTGTACATTTAGCCTCATAATGTTTATTTTGGTCATGGCTTTTGTGTATTATCCATTTAGAGTCAACTCGGTGGTGACAGGGACTGAGCAGTGGCCAAGATAATAGAAACAGTATCGACATCTCCAATATAGCAGTTACACCTGGAAGCTAGCCACGCTCTACCAGGGGTCCTCACACTTTTTAAACAGGGGGCCAGTTCACTGTCCCTCAGACCGTTGGAGGACCGGAATAAGTTTTAAAAAAACTATGAACAAATTCCTATGCACACTGCACATATCTTATTTTGAAGTAAAAAACCAAAACGGGAACAAATACAATATTTGTATTTGCATGTGGTCCGCGGGCCGTAGTTTGAGGACCCCTGCTCTAGCCAGTATCACATACCCAGGGAGGGAGGGGACAGGAGATTGTCTGATTTCTCCCACTCAGGTGCCTAGTTTAATATTCTTTCCTGCTGCTCACCGGGGATTCGTACCAAAGGATGCCTTTATCTCCACTTCTCCTTGCTTCTCTTCAGGTCCGTCTGTGTGTCTCTGTCTTCAGAGCCTCTCTCTCCCCCTCCCAACCCCCTTCTCTCTCTTCCTAGCTGAGGCAAAAGCAACTAATCTGGTTAACAAGTCTCTGTTGGGAGAAAGTCACATGCTAAGCATAGCAAGTGCTGGGTGCTGTGAGGAGGGGTAAATTTAGTTTGCTTCTCTACGCATCTGTCCTTTCCAGCACCGTCTCCCATTTAAAGGGCTCCTTCCAGGCTGCTGGGCTCTGAGACACAGGGTCCCACACAGACCGCAGCCAGGCGGGATTTGCAAGCAGCACAGCAGGAAACTCAAGGCTGGCTGCTCTCACCCCGGCCCACACTCGCCATGTCCTTTCACAACTTTGTGTTATCTAAGGGAGGTGACGGTGCCTCCCAAGCCAAGAAGGAGAGTCTCTGAGGGCCGGTCCTTCCCTCCCTCTGCGGCCGGCCTGGCGCTCTGCCATAGAAGGCCTGGAGCAGCCTTTGTTATAAGCTGGGAGCCCCTCAAGGGCAGGGACAGGCCATACTCACCTACACCCACCAGGCCTCCCACGACGCTTGGTGGCCCAGTGGTTGTTCAGTGTGTGAACAGAGGAAAAGAGGAACCAACAGGGAGGAAGAGCAAATGATGGAGATGCTCACAAGGAAGGGCTTCCTGACTTAATGAGCCAATGAACGCTTGGAAGCAAGCTCATCCCAGACGGATGGCCAGATAGCAGAGTTAGCATCGGCAAGTGTGGCCCATCCCGCAGGTTTTATGAATCCGCGGCCCTAAAAACTTCAGGAGGGAAATCAATAACCCGGATCCTGGACGGGAGGCTTTGAGGCCATGTGGACGCTGCTCCGAATCTGGGTCCCTCTTCTCTAAGACCAGATCCACGTCTTGGGAAGAGCTCTGTCTCTGAAGCCAGACAGATCTGGCTCACACCCCCGCTTTGCCGCATGCTGTCTGGGCAGTCACAGAACGCCTCCCAGCCTCGATGTGCCGTCTATGAAATGGGGCTAATGATACGTGACTGGGTGGCTATGAGGCAGGCATGTTTAAAGTCCCCGCACACAGAAGCGCTCGATATCAGCCTGCCAGCTGCTCCCCAGGCGGCCATGGAAAAGCCACGGCCTGTTCCTGCCTTTCAGCGTTCCCATCTGAATGGGGCCGTGATTCCTGCCCGCGCCTTCCCCGGGTGTGCACAGGTTCTGGGTGGGTGCAGAAGAGCAGGGTAAACGTGCTGAGCAGAGGAGGGCTGCCCCGGCCTCAGGGCTTGGGGAGGGATGGTGTGATGTAGGATAGCACAGACGGCCACAGCACTCCTCCCTGTCAACCTGGGGGGCCTACAGAGCCAGTTGGTAAAGGGGGAGGTAGAAAAACCATTGAAGGGAAGGATGTGAATGATTAGATGTGCGTTTATCTTATTTACCTGCTTGAGTGCCTAAAGTTCCCCTCTTTGTGAGAGCAAGGATGGTCTCTGTCTGGCTCATCCCTTTGTCCCTAG